CCCTCTCATTGCTTCCTGACACTTTTTAAAGATCTATAGTCCTGCTGATTGCAAACGAGGGGCAGATGAATCTCTCAGCACAAAGTGACTCTCCCAGGCAGATTAAAGATTCTTCCACACGATTCCATCTTAATTAAAATATATTGCCCCCTGAAGAAGTTACCCAAATTACAAGCTAAACTCAGCACTTTACTTCTCAATGAAAATTTTACATCGCCTTAGAAAGCAAAATATCACCTGTTGTTACTGGAATAAATTCAATCCCCAGCAAGAAAACAATGAAAATAAATGAGCCTATTACTCCTGCATCATAAGAGCGACTCTGGCACCATGAGAAAAATAATTTATAAAAAGTAACTGTGGCAACAGTAATAATTATCTTACTAGTCAAGAACCTGAATGCTTCTGTTACCCAAGAATACAAGTCTTCCCACTCTGCCATGGCAACGAGGATCAGCCTGGAGGAATCACACACAGCCAAGTGATGGCTGGAGTGCTGCTACACCAGTGTGACAGAAGGCAGAAATTAAGATTAGATCCAAATTTTGAGTCACATCCCTTCCATACCCATAGGAATAATAACAATTACATTAAAAAAAAAAGATGAAACAGAAAAAGAAGCCAACATATATGGATTATTGTGAATTAAAAAAAAAAAAATCTGAAGGGAGTTAAAAACATCAGAGGAAAATCCATGGTTAAAACAGCTAAGAAAAATAGTTATGCAAGGGCAAAGACCCTTTAAGAAACACCAGCTCCTAGATGAATTATAGTTTGGAAAATATGAAGACAGTAAAATTGCTACAGGGAGACAAAAAGCTGCAAGTGATCAATATACATTGCCTACCTGCATTTAATAATGTGGATAACTTTGTACTGCATGAGGATAAGGAAATAATTCCAATATACTTATGTTAGACCAGATAACATCACAAGAGTCATTTTTAGGTTTTCATAAGGAAAAACATAACCACAAGGTCTAAAAAAGTGCCTTAGGATATCATTAGGAGGCCTTAGGATGTCATTTCCAATGCATGTGGAACAACTTGAAAATTTCTCCAGAGTAGGTGTCCCAATATAAAATAGTAACAACTAATAATTGAGAGTTACAACACTTTTAATAATGGATAAAATGTAAAAAGGAGGCTAATTAATAAAGTAATAATTCACTTCATAATAAGAAGTATGACTAAAAGCAGAACCATATCATTAATGCCAATCAATAGTTTTATAGGAAGCTATTAAACAAACCCAGGGTTTGTCCTTTGTGTGTGCAATCACAAGCACGTTAATTATTTAGGTTTTTACAAGGCAATTCACCTAAAACATGTGGCATTTAGACCAAATTTTACACTGTTGTCAGTGAAGGGAGGATCACAGCACTGTCAGTGCTGGTGGAACAGCAAATCGTGATGGGAATGGAGAGATCCAGATCAGTTGGTTCACTGCACTCATTTCTTGGGAACACATTCTCATGCACATATCAAAAATGGAACAAGTGTTGGCAGAAAGCATGTATGTAAATCCCAGTTAAAAGAAAATTATTTATGCTCAGACTTGAAAGGCTTAATCTTTCTAATCCTTTAAATAAGAAAAACGGACTTAATTTGATTGCAGTATAAAGTGCTACAAGAGGCCTTTCATCTTGAGGATAATGGAATAAGGTCACTAAACTTAAACATACCAAATTTCATATTTGAATTTACCTGACCCTACAGGTAATAGAATCTGAAACAAATACAGACAATCCCCTTATCTCTTAAAACTTTCAGATCAAAACTATAGATCTCTTTATTCTTAGGTGCAAATAATGAGTCATGGGGGTCACATGCAATAATTGCAGTACATAAGTGCTCAGGCTGTATAAACTAACAGGACCTTATGTCTCAGCTGGACTTTATAACTCAGACAAATGTTACCTAATTAACTTGGCAGCAAGGCAATGTTTTGGAGAAATAGACAATATATGGGTTTTTATTTTCCTCTATAAGTGTTTCTTCACCTTTACTTATTCAACAGTTGACCCATCCTCATACAAACAAGCATATTCTGGTTTTTCTCCATATATTTTCACTGCTTCAAGATGGCCAGCGGGCAGTAATCCTTCCTATAGAACCCAAACCATTCTGTTCACATCATGACTGATTGGATGTGGTCAGTCCCATGTGACAGGTACACAATTTTAAAGATGTTGGGGTTTGGGCTTGCTTCTTGCACAAAACCTACCACCTTTTAGGGAAAACACAAGGTTAATTTTTATTCACCTCCTCCAAATAGCTGCCTCCCTGGCTTACTACCAAGTGCTCTGTTCCCTCAGAACAGCCTTTGTGCTGTGAGTATGCCTTTGACATTTTTTAAAGCGATGGAATGCAGTTCTAGATGTCACAGATATTACAGTGTATTTACTTGCAGCTCAAGTATTTTATTTGCTTTAGTGGGTTTTCTTCAAATCCCCAGCGTCCCCCACCCGCTTGTCTGCAGAGGGACTTCAACTCTATGCCAGCAGCTTAAATATATGAAATTAAACTCTCCTCACACCAACAAAGTGCCCCTTCAATGATAAACATCAAACTTGCAGAGAGTGTAGGATACTCAAGACATGATATTTTATAACATGAAACATCCCATTGCTTAGGATAGGATTAATAAAAGCACCAGAATTTTTCATGGCTGGATTAATCCAGGCTCTTAGACATCTGAACAACCTGCTGTACCTACTTCACCTCAACCCACTGCTAAAAGCAGCAACCAAATGTTACTGTCAAGGTAACTGTGCAAACCTTACCCCCAGCAAAGGGTTACACCCCTTGTAGACTTTCAAAACTGGACACAGAAGCCTTTAATCTACTTCATTACCTGGCAGAAGCAGCTATTTCAAGGTCCTCAAGCAGCTGCCATGTTGCTTTCAATGTTGTTTATTCCAGTCTCTAAAAAATGCGTTTTTAAGATGTTAATGATAACAAAAGGAATATTGCTAACGAGGCTTAGGCAGATTTTTGGCAGAACCTTTCAATGGAAGGTAATGAAACTGTGAATTGAAACGAGTGAACAAAACAAAAAGATGTTATTCTAAATGAAAAATTACATGTAATAATTTTCCACCACAAGGAGCTTCCCTTGTGTTGAGATGAAAAAACACTTCAAATTAGAGTAACAGTGGCTGGATTGGTTCAACACCTCTGAGCATTAATCACCCAAGAGCAGCTGAAATCAAGAGTAAGGTGTTCCAGCAGGAGGATCTCCACATTTTACAGACTTCTGCAAGAGACAGTTCCATGCTGGGGTCTTTACCTAGGGACAGAATGTGCCACCAAATGCTAATACAGAGCACTCCAAAACATTCTCATAGTCTTTGTGGAGGCAAAAAATCCAGTGGGAGCTGAAAACATCCATGCTCCCTGCATGGAATGCAAGTAAATTTATTGACCCCATAGAGTAAAATGTTCAGGACTGGATTGTCATAATGCCTTCAGGACATGCCAACCAAACCAACCAAATCCTCACTTTTTACCTGTTAACATAAACCACAAGATCTCTCTGTTCTCTAAATTCTGTATTTCAGACTAAATAATGCAATGGCCACTGGTTCAGGGTAAACTCCCCACACTCAGAGGCCAAGCATGGGCAGGGGATACTCATGAGGCTTCAAGTTACAAAAATACATGTTTGAATGGGCTCTGTACTTCTGCCACATTTCACCACGGTTCAAATCTTATTAATGTAAATATCAACTAAATAAAAATGATCTATTTTTCCTACATTCTACTGAATTATCAGAAAAACAAAGTGTTCCTGCCTCACTCAAATGATTTTACTTATTTTTTCTCACACTGATGTTGTTATTACATTGGTCCCTGGGGGACACCACCAGTGACCAGCTGCCAACTGAGTGCACCTGTCCAAGCCGTGGGCTGCCAGCTTTTCCAGGAGTGTGCTCATGGAGAGCATTGCAGTGGCTGGAGAGCGGCCAGGCAGGAAGGGACCTGGGGGTTCTGACAGACAGGAAGCTGAACATGAGCCAGCAGTGTGCCCAGGTGGCCAAGAAGGCCAATGGCATCCTGGCCTGGATCAGGAACAGTGTGGGAGCAGGAGCAGGGAAGTGATTCTGCCTCTGTACTCAGTGCTGATGAGGCCACACCTGGAGTGCTGTGTCCAGTTCTGGGCCCTCAGCTCAGGAAGGACATTGAGGGGCTGGAGCGGGTCCAGAGAAGAGCAATGAGGCTGGGGAAGGGACTGGAGCACAAGTCCTGTGAGAAGCAGCTGAGGTTGTTTAGCCTGGAGAAGAGGAGGCTCAGGGGAGACCTCCTCACTCTCTACAACTCCCTGACAGGAGGTTGTAGCCAGGTGGGGGTTGGTCTCTTCTTCCAGGCAACCAGCAGTAGGACAAGAGGGCTCGGTCTTAAGCTGCACCAGGAGAGGTTTAGGTTGGACATCAGGAAGAAGTTCTACAGAGAGAGTGATCAGCCATTGGAATGAGCTGCCAGGGAGGTGGTGGAGGTACCGTCCCTGGAGGTGTTTAAGAAGAGATTGGATGTGGCATCAGTGCCATGGTCTGGGTGACAAGGTGGTGTTGGCTCAGAGGTTGGACTCGATGATCTCAGAGGTCTTTTCCAGCCCATTTGATTCTGTGATTGATCACTCAAACTTTCACTCAAGCTTCCTACATAGCGTCAAGTTGCAGTTTTAAACACAAACTCCATTTCCCAACAAACTCAAGCATCTTTTGCTGTAGATCAAATATCAGAAGAGTACTTTTGCTTCCATTCAGTTCGATACAGTATCAAAACACCCACCCATCTCTACAGAGATTATTCAGCTCAAGACACCCAGCCAGCAAGCTTTACCAAAACTGTTTTGTTGTGATCTGAGATAAAGATGAATGTTCAGAGCTACACCCTTCTACCTACAAAGCTTTCTGCAATGATTAAAAATGGCTAGAATGAGCTTGAGAGCAACGCTAAAAGCCTGAGGGGGGGGTGAAAAACCAAAACCAAAACAAGCAGTTTGAGCAAGTCTTTATTCTTCTACTGAAATAACTACAAATAACAAGACAGACTAATTCCCCAATTCTTTTTGCTAAACGTCGGAGTACGATGGAATCCATCCCTTAAATAAATGCATGCTTTGAAAAAGGAAAAATAAGAGTTACTTTTGTGATTTGTGCCTCGCAGCCAAACTTGAATGACCCTGAGAGAAGCCTGTGCAGACAAATCACAAGATTTATGTGCAGCTTGTTAGATCTGTTTCCCACCTCCCTTCATGTTATTGCTCTGCAAATTGCAGAATGTGGTTTTTTTTTTTTAGTAAGTGCTAATGTTGACTAAAATCCATCATAAAGAGTGCTACAATATTGCTTTTTATTACAAATAGCCAGAACTTCTTTGAAAATATAAATGTGTAAAACGATCCACCGACTGTACAGTGCATTTACAGGACACAATCCAGAAAGTAACATGCAGTGTAAAAACTGCTGTATACATTAGCCCTTGCCCACAAAGAACTTGGCAGTACTACCACGACTTATTAATGACTATAGGGTGAAAAAAAAAATAAAAAAAAAACAAAAAGCTCAGTTACATCTAACTTTACCATGAGACTGGGATACATACATCATTGTACAAGGAAGAGCTGCTTTTAACTAGAAACCGTCATCATGTTGTAACTCTTGGAAGGGCTGGATCTGCCAGTTCTCCACTCCTCCTTGCAACTGGTCCTGCTCTCCAGCTGTTTGGCCGCCTTCCCCCCAGGCTGAGGGCTCTCGTACAGCACACAGATAGACCCATCCTCACCTATGCGGTAGGACACTTCGAAGGGGTCGACCCACAGAGTTAATTCGCTGGGTAAGAGCTGGAAGAGCCTCTCGTGGCTCAGTCCGATCATCCCCGCCGCTTTTCCTATCAAGGGGTCCATCTTATGGTTGATCCTGATGCAGCGGTACCCGGAGCCCTTGGAAGGCATCAGGGGGAACCAGTGGTGTTTATAGTGCTCTGCGAGAGGGAACAAAGAGGAGCTTTACCGCGGTGCGCTCCGCCGGACCCCCGGGCCAAGAGGGGATGGAGTGGATAGAGGGGATGGGGGTGGAATGGAGGGGGAATGGAGGGGGGACGGAGGGGGGATGGAGGGGGTGTCCCCCCGCCGCTCACCGCGCATCGCCTCCTGCAGCCGCTCGCGGAAGCACCGCAGCTGCTCCTCGCCGACCCCGCCGCCGGCCCGCAGGAGGCGGGTCACGAACGCGGCCGCCGTGGAGATCTCGGTCCTCATGGCCGCCCCGGCCCCGCTGCCAGCGTCGCCCGCCCCGGCCCGGCCCCCGCGGCCGCGGCGGCTCCGCGCAACAGCCGCACCGCGCGGGCGGGACGGGGCGGGTTTGTTTTGCTGGCGGAGGAGGCGGGACCAGCGCGGACACCTCGACCGACAACCCCGAACGACAGCCGGACACCCCCGCGCCGCGCCGGGGCAGCGCTCGGTGGCAGCGGGCTCGGACACCCCGCGCCCTGCGCCCCCCGCGCCCGCCGAGCGCGGACACCCCGCGCCCCCCGCGCCCCTGCCCGAGCCCCCCCGTCCGGCCGCTCCCGCCCCCGCCGCGGGTCCCATTCCCCACCCAACGGCGGTAACGGGCCGGCCGCGCGGCCGCGCTCGGCGATCACCGCGGCTGCCCCTTCGCCTGCGTGCGCCACATTCCCACCCCAGGGCATCGCCGGCCCCTCGCAGTCCATCACCCGCTCCGTCGCCTGCGATGTTCCAGGCGCACATCGCCGTTATCCCGCCTCGTGCCCTTCTCCCTCTCGTTTCTCAGGACCCTATCCACTGGTCGGGTTATGTGTCCAGGACATCTGTTCTAGAACAGGCAGCAGTCGCAAGTATTGAGACCATGTTGCTGAGAACACAGCTGTGCTGGGCAGGGCACATCTCCAGGATGAAGGATCACCGCCTCTCTAAGATCTTGCTTTATGGTGAACTTGCCACTGGCTGCCGCATGAGAGGAGCCCCAAAGAGAAGATACAAGGACTCCCTGAAACAACATCTCAGCCTTGGCCATATTGATCATCATAACTGGTCTACTCTGGCCTCCAGTCGGGAGGCCTGGAGACACGCCATCTATAACACTGCTGATCCTTTGAGAACACACGCAGGATCACCCTTGAGGAGAAAAGACAACGCAGAAAGAACCGTGCCTTGCAGAATATACCACCTAAGGAGTCTTTCTGCTGTGCCTTTTGCAATCAGACATGTCTATCTTGTATTGGCCTCATTAGCCACCAGCGTGCCTGTAACAAACGTGGATAGAGCCTTCCCAAATCTTCGTTCACGAAGCCCAGCCATGAATGAACGTGAGAACTATCTAAAAACCTCTCGCCAGCTCTTCCAGGCAATCCCTCAAGTGTGGGATTTTCTGCCCTACGGGACCAAGACCCTCAAATGACAAAAAACTCTTGACATTTGCCCCAACACGCAGACGCCACCACCTGCTTCGACAGTCCCACAGAGCTAGAGTTTAATTCTGAGTGCTATTTTGTAGCCTAAGCAAAGAGGTTTGTCATCAAGGGAAAAAAATAATCTTATTTCACCCCTTGAAGAAAAGACAGAAGGTTTCTGTGGTTCCTTTTTCCTCTCACTCACAGCTCTTAGCACTAGACTAACCCTCTCCTATCCAGCTCTCAGGCCTGAATCAAGATGCTATTTTATTAGAACAACTTTTCACTGAAGCCCAGTTCACATTTTAGTACCTCAAACTTTAGAAATTAAGCTAAAAAAATTCATTTCTGCTGGTATCTGGACACATCAGTCATCCACTTACTTCAGTCTTGTTTTATTCAGTGTTTTGAGAAACATGTAAGGCTCATGGTAAGCGAGACACAGAAAGACAAGAAGAAACCAACAGATATGTAACTGTTTGACTTTCATCTCCCTGCTAGAAAATTATTCCACAGGCAGCAGTATTTAAAGCAAACTCTGGAAGGGTTCATCAAGAACCTAATTATTTGCCTTTTATTATGCTAATATTTTATATAAACAGGATGTTTTAGAGAGTACTGGAGTTCCCAATAACACAGCACTGGAGATGGCAATTCATTTGTAAACACTACACCTGTACAATTTACTGATAACCATTGAAATATGTCATTTTTCATTAGAAACAAATTTTAAGTATTCATACACAGTGAAAAAAAAACAAACACACAAGCATCTAGGTTTTGGTTTGGGTTTTTTTTCCCCTATCTGCTGGAAGATTTCTCTGGCTTTAAGAAAAGCAGGTAAATCACCTCCTGTTGAGCATTGTTGGGATTAAAAGCCTTGCTTAGCACTAGAAATGAAAGCAGTCGAAGCCTCGGGCTGCAAGAGTTGACCAAGAGATAAAATTATTATTACAAATGCAAAGCTAGCTGAAAGTGGAAGATACAAGCAGAATGAAGAAAAGGAAACAATTCCAAGGGAATGAGAGGAAAGACAGCCCAATCACTAAGACCAGCAAGTCAGCAACAGTCAGATGACAACTCATCTTCGAGCAGGAACCCGGGGCTGAGCCCTGCTGAGGTGGCATCCACATGCAGCTACATCATTCCTGACACAGCTACCAGACATACAACCTTATTTCACTAAGATTTTTTTTTAGCTCATCAACTCAGACTTACTTTGTTGTTACTCTGTTCACCTGCAAGTCATTTTCTCTTCAGCAGGAACACCTGGGGTAAAGGAAAACAGAGTCAGTGTCTCGAATACTTTAAAAAAGCATGAAATATGTCACAGAAGTTCCTGCCTGGTTTCTCTCCAAGACTTACAGCCTTGGTTTATTCTGTTAAAAATAAAGTTTGTGCAAGTGTTCTGTCATTCTATTTTTCCTCAACTCCAGCTAGAGGACGAGGAGAAAGTACAACTGAAGCTGTAGCACTCATGCAATATACTGTTATTTAAAAATAGCAGTCATAGTGCAATCCTATTTATTTATAAAAAAAACAAACCCCAAACTAAAAATTCCAAATAAACAAACAAAAAAACTAAACCCAAACCAAACCGACCCAGAATTTAGTGCAAATAATGTCTAAATCAAGTTCCTTTTAGATTACTTAATTTACTTCTCAATCCACATCTCTACAAACATGGATGAAACAGAGCACTAGAACCTGCAAGAGGAGGTTTTAAACAAAACAAGCAATTTTGGTTTTACTCCATCTCATAGAAGCATCTCTCTCTAAACATAGATAAATAAAACCATTCTTAAAAGCAAGAACTATCTTTTCCTTGTTGCTAGACTACAAAGAGAAACATTGTGTTGCCATTCTCACTAGAGGGAGAAAAAGAATTCCAAACACAAATAGTGGTACCTTAAGTGATGTAAGCATCAGATCCATCCATAATTTCTCCAGTTTGGTACATAATTTGGGCCTGGCTGGCTGATCACAGGCACTGCTTCTTTTGCAGTGCATGGATAAAGCAAATTACACTCTAGTGATTGTTTAAGTTTGCTGTGCATAATGGGAATAGAGAAATGAACAAGAGAAATCAGAGTTCTCTGACAGAATTGGAAATGTGTCATCCTAACATAGTGTTTTTCACTTAAAAGCACTGTGCGTCCCTGAGCCCGGTGTGTTTCCAGCCCTCTCCGTGAGTCCCCAGACACTGTCTACGAGCCCTCAAGCTCTGTCTGTGAGTCCCCAGCCCTGTCCTTGTGTCCCTGAGCCCCGTCTGTGTTCCCAGTCCTGTCCGTGTGTCCCTGAGCCCTGTCCTTGTGTCCCTGAGCCCCGTCTGTGTTCCCAGTCCTGTCCTTGTGTCCCTGAGCCCCGTCTGTGTTCCCAGTCCTGTCCGTGTGTCCCTGAGCCCCGTCTGTGTTCCCAGTCCTGTCCGTGTGTCCCTGAGCCCCGTCTGTGAGTCCCCAAACACTGTTTGTGTGTCCCCAAGGACTGTCCGTCAGTCCCTGAGGAGGCAAAGGCGGCAGAGGTGTCAGCCCCACAGCCACACAGGATGGGTCCCCACCGCCCTCGTAGCCGCGGTCTGACGTCATCTTGCCGGGGACAAGCACGGTATGACATAATCAGCAGCCCCACACTCACCGTGACGTAACCGCCAGCAGCATGACGTCACCGCCAGCAGCATGGCGTCACCATCAGCAGCATGACGTCACCTCTCCCCCTCACACGGCGGACGCACCTTCCCGCCACCCTTCCGGCCAATCCGCGAGGCGCTTGCACCACAGCCTCTGGCGGCCAATCGCGGGGGCGCTTACAGCCAGTGCCGGGGCCGCCGCCGCCCCATTGGCCGCGCGGGGAGCGCCGCCCGGCGGTGATTGGCGGGGGGCGTGTCCCGGGCGGCCTCGCGCCGTGAGGGCCCCGCGGGCCCGGTCCCGCCATGGCGGCGCCGCCCGGGCCGCGCAAGCGGAGCGGCCCCGCGCTGAGCGGGGACAGCGGCGCCGGGGCCGCCCCGCCGGAACTCCGCAATGGGCTCCCCCCGCACAAGCGCCCCAAGAGTGCCGCGGCCGGGCCCGCCGACCCCTTCGGTGACAGCGACGACTTCACGGCGGACGACCTGGAGCAGATCGACATCCTGGCCTCGCAGGCGCTGTCGCAGGATCCGCCCGCGGGACTCGCGTGGGGACCCCCGGGACTGCCCCGGGGCGGGCGGGAAGGTCGGTGTGTCCCGGCACTGCCCCGCTGCTGAGGAAGGGGTTGTTGTCCCTTTAGGAGTCATGGAATGGTTCGGGTTGTAAGGACTTGAAAGATCATCCAATTCCCACCTCCTGCCTTGGTCAGGGACACCTCCCGCTATCGCAGGGTGCTCCAAGCCCCGTCCAACCTGGCCTTGGACACTTCCAGGGTTGGGGCAGCCACAGCTTCTCTGGGCAACCTGTGCCAGGGCCTCCCCACCCTCACAGGGAACAATATTTTACCAATATATCATCTAAACCTGCTCTTTTTCAATTTGAACCCATCCCCCCGTGTCCTGTCACTACATGCCCTTGTAAATACTCTTGCTCCATCTTTCCTGTAAGTTCCCTTCAGGGAACTTCTGCTCTGGCCACCAGCACCCCCCAGTGTCAGAGGGATGGCTGGGATTCAAAGGGATAACAGAAATAACAAAGGAGTAGTAATCCCAGCAGGCACACTGCACTGAGCTGTGCCCTGGTATGTGTGTGGTGACCCTGGCCTGGGACGTGGGTGCTGCATGTTAAACCTGCCAAATAAACGAGTTTCATAAACTTTTAACTTGCTGTAGTTATCATTCACAGTATCATCGTTCACTTTTGTATCCTGGTTGGATGTTGGCCACCAGATTATTTTTTCCCTGTTAGTTTTCACTGGTAAATGCATAATGTGTCATATTAAAGCAGCTGATTTTCAGGTTTACTTTGAAAAAAGCAAAGCAAAGCAAACCAGGAGGTTGTTCATAGTGAAGTTTAGAGAGCTTAAATCCTCTTAAGTTTAATGTTTTGGCAGCGCTGACATCTGCCATCTCTCCAGGTGAACAAGTTCTCAGTGAACCCTTGTTTGTGCAGGGTGTTTTAACTAAAGTTACCTGGAAGGAATTGCTCACATTTACTGATAGCCTTCTTTCTGCTTTAAGATATTAAAAGATCTTTAAGGTCCCTTCCAACCCAAACCATTAGATTAGAAATTGGGGGGTGGAAGGGTGTTCTCTGTTTTAAGGATTGATGCACAAGCACTGACAAGGTTCCTGTGGTGGTTAGGTGAGGCAGTTTACCTGTTTGTGATGATGGTATAAATACTAAGATATTCAGATGTCTGAAATGGCAAATAACATGGTGTTGAGTCCCCAGTGATGTTCACACATCATCTGTGCTTTACATCTTGCCTTTTCTCTGCAGCAGAAAGCAGAGCAGAAGATGGGCTGATGAGAGATGCATTCCAGTTTGAAGTACTGCAGACACAGAATGAAGAAAACAAACAGAAGGTTGGCAACATTTTCCCCTCCCCTCTAAATGTCACATTTTTGGTAGGGCTGACTGAAAGGTGGGATAAATCCAGTTCCAAGCATTTAATTCTAATCAAGTTGATCAATAATCTTTGTAATCCAGAGGTCTGTTAAAATCATTATGTTAGAAACAGCTCTAGTAATAATTGAGACCAGTAGTTTATTTCTTGGTCGCTTCAGAGTAGCAAAGGCTAATTTGTCAGTTTTACGTGTTCCCTGTCAAATGAATTCTCTGTCCTGTCAGCCAGTCAGCAGGAGTTGTTTTGTGCAACTTAAAGATTTGAGAAAGCAAAGTGACTTTAAAGTGGCTTTATGTTACTTCACCTCCTGCTGATCCATTATGGAGAGATACTTAGGGCAAGAAACAGATGTAGAAAAGTAAGAAGGCACAAATTCCTGTACAAAGTCTCTCCTTTTTTGGTGCACAGCTTAGGAAGGAAATAAGCCTTGAACAAGTTTATATTTTACCAGAACAGCCTTTTAGCCTCTGATCAAATTTCATGTAGATACTTCCTGATCCAGAAATATTATATGCGGATTTAATAGTCTATTGTGTATATTTTTTAAACACTCTGTGTTTGGGTTTGGATACCTTTTATAGGGAAACAGGTCAGCACTTTTAACACGAAATTTCTTCTCTGATTTAATTTTGAACTTAATGAGTGGGTGGGTCGTGGCTGCTATGAGAGACAATAAACAGAGAATAACTTGTGCACTTGCACCTCGATTGATCTTTGTTTCTTTGTGCTTTCCCCCAGCTGGGAGGGTCCTACTCTATTTACCTTTCTTACCTCTGTTTTCTGAATCTTTCCCAGCTCTGTTATATCCATCTTTATCAGGGAATCTCCTACCTGTAAACCATCATTTTACAGTTGTGTAGAGGTGTCTTCTTGCTTTTTTCCTCATGCATTTCTGAGTAACTCATTCATTATCTCTCCAAAGTCTTGTCTCTGAGTGGTATTTCTGCTCAGGAAATTAGAGAGTAAATATGTCATGAAGATACTGTCTGGGGGTGGTGCCTTGTCTTAGAACAGAGTTCTTGTTGGCTGCCCTGCTAAATGAAATATTACAATGAAATTAGCAGTGTTATCATCCCAATAATGAATAAATTATTGATGTGTATGACTAGAAGACTTTGAAAGAAAAAGTAACAATTTCAGAGGAGGGGAAAGAGAAGGATGGTCTTTGACAGATATCAGAATGGTATGTGAAGATGTGTCTTTGCTGTCATTTATAATTCTGTTAGAGAAAACAGTAGCTGAGTTTCCTGGTTTAATCAGGAAAAGGTTAGATGCAACATGGCAGAATTTTTGAACTGGGTTGCAGGAGAATTTTCCTCCCTAGAAATTATAAATAAAGACCTAATTTTCAACCACACAGTGATGCAAATACATACTTTTGGCTGTGTACGTCCTTTAATGGAATTTCTCTGTTGGCAGCTGAAAGAAATGCAGGATGAAATCCTCACTAAAAATGGAGAAATTAAAATTCTGCGTGACTCACTGCAGCAGATGAGGTTTGCTGTGGAGGAACAGAAAAGATCATACCTGCTACTGGAACAGCAAAAATCTCAGACCTTGAGTGAAAAAGAAAAAGAGTTCTCCAAAAAGGTTTGTAAATATATCAATTCCCTGCAGATCAGATACAGAAGCCAGTTTATGACTTAAAGATGTCACAGACCATTTAGTCAGAGGGAGAACAACATCGGTGTGAAATGTCCAAACAATGCATGCTTTTATTTTCTTATCTAAAAGAAAGCATTTGTAAGAACTTGCAGAGGGTTTTCTCCTGCCAAAACAAAAGAGTAAAATTCAGATGGTAGAGGTTTTCATTTGCTGCCTTTTTTTTAAGCCACCCCAAGACCATTAAAACTGGAATGTATTTTACAATGGAAAAAAGAGACAGAGCATGCTCCATGCCTCTGATCAGGTTGCTGTTCCTGTTGCAGTCATCTTTCTGAGAGCCCTGAAGAGGACAGGGGCTGCTTTTGTGCTGTTCTCTTTGGTCCTGCTCTGTGTGGCACTTGGTCTGTCTTAGCCAGTCCCAAATGCTTCTTGCCTGAACTTCTGGCACTTGGTTCTCAGATAGTGTTAATTGGACTAAGATTCATAAAAATGGAGATCTTGTGCAGAGTTCACAGTAAGCAGATGATTATCTTGAACTCTTATGGTAACTCCAGTTGCTCTGCAGTTCCAACACCCCTAAATTACTCAGTAACAGGAAAACTGTCTTTAATTCCTCTTCCAGTTGCAGTCGTTGCAGTCAGAGCTGCAGTTCAAGGATGCAGAAATTAATGAGTTAAGAACACGACTTCAGAACTGTGAAAGAAATAAACATGTTGTTACTCAGACAGTTCCAACAACAAGGTAGGGGATTGGAGAAGGAATTTCTTTTCATTTTTACAAAATGTGTGCTTAAACTATTTAAAAATGTTTCCTTTCTTCATGTAATTTTAGCTCTGTTGTCTTTAAAAAATACAACCACAAAGGTCTGTTCACCTCTATGAAATTTGCTCAAAAAGAGAGCAAATTTCTCGTGTCTAAGACAGAAATTCAAAGAGTTTGTAGTGAAGTAGCTTTAAAACATCAGTGAAAATAAAGTAGATTCTTGCTTATTGTTTAATAAAATAACTACAAAAGAAATACTGATTCACCTTTTCATATTAGCCCTAAAAAGAATTTTGCAGTACAAGTGAAACCAGAAGGATGTTCTCCACAGCCTGGAAGAAGATCTTTTCCTACAAAAGAATCCTTCAATGCTGAAATGTCCACTAGACCATCGTGTTCTTCAGGAAATTTGGTGGCCCCAACTAGTTCAATCAAAGAAGGTAAATCCATGCACAACGTGCCACATTTGTATCTGCATGTGAACCTTCTGCCTTAGAGAAGGGGTTTTGTACTACATGACTGAACAGTTGCAGTAAATTCACTGCAGACAAAAGCAATTACTTTTATTTTGGTTTCCCTTTAATTTCTTTCCCCTTTATAGCCATTGGAGTTAAACAGCCATGACTGAAATTTGCATCAAGGCCATTTTAATCCACACCTTGGTACCAGATGCCCAGGTGCCAACGATGAAGGGGCCCATTGGCTGCAATAAAAAACTTTCCTGTATTATGTGATGAACCGAAATATCCAAATTGTTGATCTGCCTTTTCTCATTGAATAAAAAACAGGAAATAATTTGCCTGTTTCTTGAATTGGTCTGCTAGTCAGCTAAAGCATTTTTTGTATTCTTGTTGTTCTGGCTTTTTTGGGGGGGCAGGGGAGGTTGGATTTTAAAGGGTACATATTTAGCCATATTGAAAGAAGCAACAGAAACAATGTACTCATTTCCTCTTTTATGTGTGGGGCAGTAATTCTCACAGCATTTTATCTTGAAATTCATTGAGGAAAGCTTAGGAAATGAATATCTGCACGTTTTTAAAGATTGCTATAATATGAAAGAAAATCAGTGGGTTTTTTTATAGCAGCCAGCTGCCATGTTTCCAGTGGGAAATAGTAAATGGAAGAAACTTGGATATCATCAGCTAATCCTTACAGGAAGAGTCATGAAAAATCTGAGATGTTGCTGCCAGTTCCAGTGTTCAGGCTGAAGCTGTATGGGCAGTGGGGACTGCACCAAAAAGGAAAATGCAGTAGCCTTAAAGCATTAGAATTGCTGCTGCTGGTTCTGGTAACAGCACTCAATATGCCAGTTTGTTTGAAAAAATAACACTTCTTTACTTGCCTTCTGAACCCTGCAAGGCTTTTGGCTTTAGTTTACCTGGTAATTGAGACATAGAGAGATGATTAAAAGATTATGAAATGCTCAAATTACTTTTTAATTTATTTTTTTAGACTTTTGTGCTAATTTTTAGCTGTCCCAATCTCTGCTAGCAGTGGGAATTCAACTTAAGGAATAGGAATTCTGCATTCACCACTGCTCTTAACTACTGGTTGATGTATCTGAGTGTACAAGACAAATGGTTTTTTGCCTGGTTTAGTGTCTGAGTCCTTACTGTCTAACACTGAGGGTGTGCAGAGGATGGGCAGAGATCTCTAAGCAAGGCAGTTCTCACAATCCCTGTTTGTTCCAGACAGTAAGATGACCCATCCTGAAGTTCCATCTGTGAAGCACCAGGAGGCAACAGGAAAAAACGGTTCCTACAACTCTGCACCTAAACGGAGCACACGAGGTAACTTAATGCTGTCCCTGCAGAAATAAACCCAGGAAAAATGTACTTTTAAAAAAAACACAACACCAAGCCTATAAAACATAAGCAGCCAGCTCTAGGAAGTCTTTACAGTAGAATTGCATCACATCATTGTAATATCTGGAGTGGAACATGAAGGGCAAGTCATCAGGACAGTTGGGACATACGGTCATTTGGCTCAAGTTATTCTGCTAATATTGTAATTAAAATATCTCTAATTATAGTTTGGTTTATATTTAAATACTGTCTTAATTTTTCTGAAAAGCATTCTCTTGGTTTTGAGAAAGAAGATTCATAATGAAAAAAATCACTTTGAGTTTGAGAGCGCTCTAGATAAGGCTGATCTTTTGAAATATTAAATTCTTGTTGTTGGAGATGGTAAAGCTACTCCAAGGACAGTTCTGTGTCCCTTCAGGTTCAATCTTACTGAATGCACTGATGAAGCAGCCCATTGTCCCTGGGTCATTACTAGGATTGTGCCATCTCCTCAGCAGCAACTCTGAGCCTCTACCTGGAGCTGTGTTGCAGCCTAACTCTCTGGATACGTAAGTTTTATGGGGTTTTTGTTAAATTGTATCTGACATGTTCTTAGTACAGTGGCATTTTCTGTACTAAGAAACACTTAGTCATGTAGGACAGCTCATTCCCTGTGTTAAATGCTGTTCTGCTTAGGCCATTTAATGCAGAATTTGAAACATCACACCACGTGTTTGATGATTAATGTGTGATTATTGTAGATACTAAACAGTGGAACATCACTAAGTGATAAACTAGGTTAATCATTTATTAGGGGAAGGCACAGAATTAAACCTGGGAGTGGCTGTTAGCAGCTTGCATTGAGGGGAAGGACATAAACATGATCATGATTAAAGTGGGGAAGGAAATGTTGAAAATGTGATTAAAACAGTAGGTTTTATATCTTCAAAGTCGAAACTGTGTTTAATTTGTAATGTGCAATTTATGTGCATTTTTCCAAGGTACATTTATAGTGACTGGTAAAGGTTTTTAAATATGAATATGAGATATAAATTATAATTGTTTTTCACTTTAAAGAATTAGACTGTAGCCCCTGAAATACCTTTGTTTTTCTGATATTTTATTAGTAATTCTTGTGTTATGTGGGTTCATACAGGGCTCATATCTCATTGCCCTTGCCATTTATGCAGGAAGAGGTGGTGAGTTTGTCCCTTGCAGCTGCAGTTTGACTGGTTAATGACTGAACACTCTCTGATTTCTAGCCAGGAAAATAATTCTTTACTGTTGTAGTCCTTTAAAAACCCCTAAATATTCCAGATCAGTAATGTACAGATACTTATTCTTCCCAGAAGCTACCAGATAACATCAGGGAAGAATATATGACAGGTTAGCAAAAGCCTGAAGTGGGAAAGCCAGTGTTTGAAATGTAGTTTCAGACAGTGGCTTATAGTGAGCTGCTGAAGTTACTCACCTGTAAGCTCTGGCTACTTTAATGAGACTCAGGAATGCTTTCAGATTGCTCTTCCGTGCCAGTCTCAAGGAGCAGGATGATTTTTTTCCTCTCCCAATTCATATTTTATTTTTGGGAACAGGCATTTCTTATTACTCTGGCCTTTCTATAGTTCAGTTCATAATGTGGATAACTCAGATTTCAGCTGTGTTCTCTGCCTTTTCCCCTTGGATAGGAAGTCCACACAACTCCCCAGCAGCAGGACAGCGCAAGAAGAAACCGCTCCTCTCGTGTCCCTGCAAGAAGCTCAAAAACTTGCAATAACAGGGTTGAACTTGATCGCTCTGGACCAAGGATTAGCTGAAGGAAGCCCAGCAGAAGGCCAGGGAGGGCTCCTGCCCCTCCCACAGTGCAGGATCCGAGGAGCTGTGCACCTCCTGCCCCTGGTGGAACACCACCTCGGTGCCTACTGCCGGGCGGGACAACTGCCGGACACGGCCGGGAACGGTTCCTGTGGAAACCATTCCACTGTTTCTTCCAGAACCAGCACAAGTTCGGTGTCGAGTAAGGAGGACTTCAGGTTGTCTCTTGAGGAAACTGCAGTTATATCACTGGGAATCCTTTATTACTTGGTGTTCTATAGCTGGGATGTTGTCCACACATTGCTGGCTGCCAGAGTGGAAGAAGGTGCTGCTGCTGCTGGAGACAAACAGGTTTCCAAGATGGACAAAAATGTGTTGTGTGACAATCAGTGTGATAATAAAGAAGGTACCAGGACACAAGGAGGGCTGCCTGCAGCTCCACAGGATGCTCCCAATAGTGATCGAGCTCAACACTCTTTGTTTAAAAAGCTTCTTCAGGTTTTAGCTTTTTCTGCTGCAAGGGGTTCCCAGACTGACAGAATCCTGAGCCAGAGCCTACAGGTTTTGGTGAAATTAGCTGAAAATTCAACAATGGACTTGCTAATAAAGTAAGTCAGTAATAGTTTTACAATGATTTCAGACTCTGGTGTTCAGCACTTTCCATCCCCTGGTGAAACCAATATGTGCAGATACAAGTAGAAGTTTTGCCCTGTATGAGAGAAATCACATTTCTCAGATCACCTCTGGGGAGCAGTTGAGGATCTTTCTATTACCTTTGCTGCTAATAAATGTGATAATCATCCCTGATCAGTTTGAAAGTGAGGAAACTTTTTAAGGCCACGTGCATTGGATCAGAATATCTGTAATATTGATTTGGGGGTTTTTTTTGTGGTTGCTGGGAGATGCATAAGGAAGGAGAGCACAGAGTCTCATTCTGGCAGGTAAAATGCCAGTCACAAGTGAAGCATTTCATCACAACCAGCGTGAACTGCAGTGACTGCCAGGTGTCACAATGTTTTTCAGTAATTTGAGATCAGTTATGTTCTGAATAGCTAAAAGGGCACAAATTATGGGGCTGTGTACAAGAAATGGTGTATTTTCAACTTGTCAGTGCATTTCCCATTTCTAACAGAGCTTTCTTTTGAAGTTTTCAGCAGTTGCTGAGCAGCCAGACCCTGCTGCACTGCCTGTGTCCAGAGACCCCCCTGCCTGCCGTCCTCCTGACTGTGAGACTGCTGGGTGTCCTCTCTCAGCACCAGGGCTTGGCTGCTCAGCTGTGTTCTCACTCAGGTAAAGGACTGCAGGGCACAGAGCACTGGGACCATCACTCAGAGGAATGCAAACAGGCCTTGCTCCGAGGTGCTAAAACCCCAGAAGGCAAAAAGCCTGATGTGCTCCCCGAAACCTTGTTTTCTAGTGCAGGGTTTCAGTTATTGTTTAAAGATTATTTATCTCAGGGCATCTGCCTACCTGTGGTGCTTTTGCTAGCCATGTGGATTTTTAAAATTTTCAAGATTAGCATTCATTGTATTAAAGGTTGTTGAAGAAAAAAAGGGGTTTTGAGGAGTTCTGAGGTTTAAATATCTGTGCATTGTTGAGATTGGGGATTCCATTACCCTGCATGACAAATGGTCTCTGTCCAGTTCCTTATGAATGAAGTAGGACAGGATTAGCACAAAGGCACATACAAAGTTATGGGATACTAATTTCTTCAGCACTGCTTAAAATGTGTGAAGTAAAGCAAGAAGTGGGGCCTGTACCACAAGTCCTAGGAGAGCACTCGAAATGTGAATTAATTTTTAATTAAAAGAATTAATTTTTGTCATGAACAATTGACTGAAAGAACAAAGTCCTCTCTGTTTCAGACACCTGCCTTCTCCTCGCACTGTACATGTACATAACATCAAGACCAGATAAATCAGCATCTGAAATGCTTTGGCTTCAGCTGGAACAAGAGGTAACCATGTGGCTGTTTTTCCACATGCTCTTTCCTGCTCTTTCCAGTTGGGGGAGTGGGAGGAGCAGGACAAGGCACGAATTGCCTGAAAACAATTTCCTTCTCTAGCTGAAATAGAAACTGAAACTATGGGCCTGCAGTAAGGGATTACATTGATTTTTTAATTATTTTTATTTTTGAAAGGACCTGCTTGAAACTGAATCAGTAACTATTCTAAAAGAGAACATCTGTCATGGTATCTTTTAAGTCACTGAAAAAACCAGTACAGATTCTAGGAGGGCTACAGATATTCAACACCAAGTTTTATTTTGCTTTTAGATCAATAGAAGAGTAAAAAGAAGCAAGTGATTTAGGATTATATTCCTTGTATTCAGTGGAAATGCTAACTTGCTGTATAATAGCCATGGTTATACATAGAAAGGCTGTTAAATTTAATTTGTGTTGTTTGTACTGACAGAAGTGACTTGAGGTTCTATTTGCTCCACTTCTGCTCTCGTTTTAAAGAATTTTGAACCCTTTCCCTTATCCCCCTGCCTGCTCTGTTATACTGAAGTACATCTGGATGCAGTGAATTAAGGCCCCCTGACCTCGTTAGCTGCTCATCGGAAAGTCGAAAAGGTTTCCCTGCAAGGCAAATTCTGCCTCTCTAAAGTTTTACAGGGGGGAAAAAAACTAATACAGTTTGGGGGCATAAAAGAGATCAGCTGTTCAGGAAAAAACAAGAAGGTTTGAAAGCAGCAGTGCAGTGCTGTTTGTGCCCCTCCCTGGGTGCAGCTCAGCCCCGGTGTGTGTGTTTGTGACAGGCCGTCCGGCTCCTGACGCGGCGCACGAGGGGCTCCAGACCAGCACTTCTGGCACCTGGCACAGCCTGTCAGTGCAACCTCGAGGTGAGTCACCACAGCCCCCCGACTTTAATCTGCTGAGAACTTCCAGGTACTCAGAGCTGGAATAGCTTTCTGCCCCCTTGTTTTAGCTACAAGGAAACAGAAGTGTCCTGTACTTTACAGGATGCCACCTCGCTAGGGAGCTTGCTTTGGCTTGCTAGAAAATAATCTCTTCAAGCTTCTGAATTTCAGAGTAAAGTTCACAATGAAAGAAGTTTTCTGCTACTGTGTTTTTACTTTGTGTTTTTCCTCTTGCAGGTGGTTAAGGCACTAATTATAATGTTACACAGGCAGTGGATGAAGATGAGAAGAGCTGAGAACAGCTCGTGTGCACATAAGGACCAAATTATTCAGTTTTTACGGGATGCTGTTTTACTCTTGCACAGCCTGTCTCAGAAAGATAAGCTGTTCCATGAACACTGCTTAGAAGTTCTCCATCAATATGACCAAGCCATGCCAGGCATAAGAGCCATTCTCAAAAAGACCAAAAAACTGAGTGCCTGTGAAGGTAAAAATCAGTCAGATGTTGGTTTTTTTCCATGCTGTAGAAATAGAAATTTCCCTTCTGTCCCTTTCCTCATTTAACAAGTACCATGGATGGTTCCTGCTCAGACCTCTGAAGTCAGGCCATAGTCTTGTGCTTCTCAATATTCACTATACTTAACCAATGCTTTACTGTTCTTCTTTAATAGTTGTATCTTGTTCTTCTCTCCAAAGAAATACAATCTGTTTGCTGTCAACAGTCAGGATGTTTTAAAATGTAGATACCAGTGATAGTTACACTGTATCAAGTAGAAAAAATGACTCTCTGAAACATGACTTTTTGTTGTTGCAGAGCTGATTTTGGATGAGTTGTATCCTCCTGAGCCAGAAGACCAAGGAATGGACTCCAGCTAGCCAGCATCTCACACAGATCTGTCCTTCCTCATCTGAATCATCATAATCATTGCCAGTGCAAATGTGAACTTTAAATCATCCCTTTGTTAAGTGACAGCCTAAAGGTTGCATTCAAAGGCAGCACAATAAGACACATTTCTTTGCTGTAATTTTTTCAGTGCCATCGAAATGTAGCTGAAAGTAAACAAATTTTGAGATGAGAATGACACTGCAATGGACTTATGATTGGCCCTGGTTATGAATTTCATCCTGTACAAAACTGCTGGGAATGGAACGGAAATGTCTCTCCATGCCTTCCATTTTCCTGTGACTACAGCTGAATTTATGATGCTGAACGTGCCAAGATGTTTGGGATCACTGCATTCATATGAAAGCCTTTTGAACACACTTTCTTTTGTAATTTTAACTCTTTCTTGCTTGACTTCCAAAATTTTCATGTTGGTATTAGTAAACAGTTTACAGTGATTTTAGAAACCTTTCTGGAAGTAACTTGGAGTTGGCAGTTCACTACAGGGCTTTGAATTTCGTGCTGAGAATTGGTCACCTGAGTTCACTCGATTTTCATGAATCTGCTGAAAGTGTAACTATGGAGACACCAAAACAAACAAACAAAAAATACTAGACCTTACATTTTTTTAAAATTCACCTTGAAAGAGTAAGATGGTGCTGTTGAGGACTCCATCCTAGGTTATAAAGGGATATTTAAGAGTGTGCAGAATGACTGGGGCTTTTTGGTCACTGTGAAGATGAATGACCATGTCATTCCTAGGATACAGCACTGAAGGTTGGAGGAAGAGCTGCTGCTCCCTGCACAATCACAGTCACACTGGGCTGCAGGTTATCAACTGAGCCTAAAAAGGGAGCTGTGAGTGCTTTTAAAATGAGCCCACGGGTTTGTATTTATAAGTGGGAGAGCTTTTTTCATTTTTCCACAGGTGCTTGATTTAGAAAGAGCCTGGATCCAGGGAACAGGAGGAGGAGAGACCATACTACAGTGGGAAGGAAGCTCTTGGAAAACTGGGAAACATTCAGTTCCCTGGTCACGCCCAAAGAAGCTGTGTCCTGCCCTGGGGCAAAGAGCCCCACTCCAGTGGGCTCAAAGAGCTCCTGACTTGGTTTGTGCTTTGGAAAAGAACTTTTCCAGAGACTGCTGTGCAGGAATAACCAGGGAAATAATCCATCATCTCCCAAGGGCTGAAGCTTCTTCCCAGCACAGCCTGGGCTCAGCCTCCCCCTCCCAGAGCAGCAGCTCTGCAGAGGCAGGACCAGGTTGTTCCTGTGAAACACAAGCTGCCAACTGCTCCTCTCAGCAGCAGGTTTCAAGTCCCTTGTAGCATCTGGAAAACTGCCATTTTCCTGCTTAAATGCAGCAAGGAAGGATGAACAGGCACATAACAGCAAGGCCTTCTGAGCCTGGGTGTGACTGCACGGCCACAAGCCTGGAACTGCCCCAGGGCCCTGGACAAGACACCAGAGGCTGTGTGACAAAAACAACAGTTGGCTTATCCACAGAAAACAAACAAATAGAAACTCAATACAACAAAAAAACCCCACACAAACAAAAACCCAACACCAACCACCGTTTCCTGGCCTTCAGGATTAGATGAGAGCTTGAGAACGTCATGTAAAAGCCCTTTCCTTCCTCAAAACCAAAATAAACATTAAGATAATTCTTTGAGAACAGCCCCATGAGCATGAGCTGTGGTAAAGCTGTATCTGAACATGTGCCTGCTGTGAGTGGCAAGCTTAGGACAGCTCTAACAAAGACATGACAGTCACAATATCCCAAAATACAGTGACCTGCCATCACTTTTTAACTGTTCTCACCACTTAGTTTCTCTAAACAGAATTTGAGTTTATAGAGATAAGATACATTGAATCCCCTTTGGGTGAACAGACCAAAACTGTTAAGAAGAGTTTGGACAAAAACCAGTTAATGAATCCCAAATTGCTGAAGCAATCCAGCTATAAAAACTTGTTTAAAAAATTCCTGGCCTCATCCAAAGGGTGTGTGTGTATGGCAACTTGGAAAAAGGGAAAAGTGGATTATTGCTGAACTTCATATAAACTGAAGTGTTATCTGTGGAAAAAACTGCCAGGAAAATCCCTAACTGTTCCCTCCTGGCTCTGTAACCCCTCCCATCCACCCACTCACCACCTGGACATGTACATTTACACTCTCATTGAGTTTTCTTCCAGCTTTTGACTTTTCACTGGTATAACCCAGGCTTCATACCCCAAACAGACCCAAACCCCTACACTTCTCCTGGCAGAAATTATGGTAACATCACGGTGTCATGAAATTAAACCAGAGCTTTTAAAGTTAAAGGCATTTCCTGTGACTGAAAAGTTCACATTCCTAAAGCAAAATGAGGCTGCATTCCTGAAGAGAAAAGGCAGAAATAAACATACTTACAGGACTGCCTTAATGCCCTATTTGTTAAATCATTTACGGTGACCAGTCTTTCGTTGGAATTATTGCAAGATTGTACTGACCTTCAGTAATTCTTCCTTTTTTACATTCTCTTGGAATTTTTCTTGGGATTAAAAAGATCCGACCATGTGTGCAACAGCTGATTATCCCCTGGAAAAAAACTGAAGCATTTTTACACATTTTGGGGCTACTGCTTTACTGTCTTCATGACCCAAAACCAACCAGGCAGTTCTCATCAGACAGTCCCTGAAGAATTCCCAGCAGAGCAGCTTTCCCGTGGCCAGTTTATGTTTCCCCAACATGTTATGGATAAGCTGTGCCTCTGTATTAACTGAGAAAAGGAATTTACTCTGGCACTGAGAGCAGTCACAGGACTGAACAATGAAGTGTTGAGCAACAAGGAAAACCACTGGGCATGTTCTACACATGATTATCACATTCCTCAGCTGCAGCCACCCATCTGTTCCCTTGCCTGTGGGGATGGCAGACGGAGTTTCCCCTTGGACAAGCTGAGCTGGAGTTTTCCTGCTCAAGGAACTGTACTTTGCACACCTCGTAGAATCACGGACTGGGTGAGGCTGGGAGGGGCCTCTCTAGCTCATCTAGACCAGCTCCCAACCCAACCAACCTTCCACTGAGAAGACAAACAACTGGTTTGTGTCACATCAGGCCTCAAAACCCATTTTTATTAGCTAAGCTGAACTAGGTGAGGATGGCAAATACAAAATATCTCATCATGCAGCAACATCCCCAAGTTGTTTTTATTCATATTAATCCCACTAGCGTGAAACTGCTTAAAAAACACCTTTAGCCTGTGCCAAACTATTAGAACACTAAGTCATCTTAACCATTGAATAATGTTTTTATGTTACAGTCTGCAATATTATTTATGGTTATAGTGGCCAAATGGTTACAATTAAAGTCAAATGTAGCAGTTCTGCCTACAAAAGGGCTGTGTATTATCTGCTGTGAATGTAACAGCAAATGCAAACTTACATTTCCAGCGTAAATTGTTAAAAATAAAAACTGCCCACCATTGATTCTAACAGCAGACTGATAAAAAAAAGGTGATCTGTGAGCTTTATAAAGATCTACAAACCCACTGTGGCTGTAGTTTATCCCAGTGCTTCCAAGAGTCAGGGCCAACAGCCAGAGTGCTGAACATGGACTAGTCTTAAAAGCCTCAGTCCTAAAGCTGTCAGTGCATTAATGCTCTGAACAGTTGCTCAAGGGGTAACCTGCTTTTGGAAATACCCAGAGGAAATGGCTACTTTATTTTCATATATGGGGAGAATATAACAAATAACTGTAGAGTCTCCTAACAGAGGTAACACAGAACAGTAATTTTCTTTGTCTGTGCAGAGGCTGGTTTTTGAGAATGCAGCTGAACCATTTGTTTTGCTGAAGAACCTTCTTTACAGCACAGCTGAGCTGCAACACCAGTCCAGCAGCCTGTAAAGGACATCCTACCTGATTCAAGGGCTGAAGTAACACTGGAGAGTGAACCACAAATCCAACTCCAGGAGCAAACCTTAAATGGAGTTTCCAGTAACTGATTTAACAGTTGTTTTGACTGCAGTAGGGGGAAATTGGATATCAGAAGTTATCTTACAACAGTCTTCCCTCTAGTGAAACAAAAAGTGAACCAGCCACTGAGTTTGTCAGTTTGCAGGAGAGGAGGGACAGCACCGAGGCAGAAATGGCATCACTTCCAAACTGTACAGAGGAACCAGAGGGGCCTGTGCCACACTGCACCAGGCAGAGCCTCCTCACTGTCCACTACTGACAAAAGCAGTTGTGTCTGATCCTAAATACATCACTTTACAACAGAAAAACATCCTTTATAACATGGCTCGCTCGCCCTGAGTGGAGGCTGCCACGGGAAGGTGAAGCAGAGGAAGCTACTCCATCAGTACAGAAACCTGAGCTCCTGAAAGGATAAAACAACGTTTTCTTCAGTTTTGTCTCACCTCTGCCAGGTGTAACCTGGGTACTTTTGTCCCTCTTATGTAGCTCACTGTAAATCTGACCAGATTCCTGTGGCACTGGCTGCAAGAACTACACGAGGTCAAATAGTAACCAGAGGGAAAAAACCAGACCCCAAACCACTGGCTAAAGCAAACCTGGCAGGTTATCATACATGCCTAGAGTCAATACTGAGTTTCCACACTTGGAAAAAAATAAAATAGGCAAGAATTGCTTGTTTGGCAATAACTACTGAAGTTTTTCCCTCCTTTGTGTCCAGCTCCTCCACACAACCCTGCCATGGGCTTTAAATTCACGCCAAGTTTTGTTCTGGAAAAATTCACACTGCTGTAAACATCTGCTGATTTAACATCATGAAAACATAACCAGCAATATTCCTCACCTAAGCCTGGGCTCTCAGCTTCTTAGCTCAGCAGTTTGCTCTCCTGTATGATGGTTTGCTGCAGTAAAGGGTGAAGGCCCCTTTGAAGCCCTAAGGGCTCGTTAAAGGAGATCTGCAGGTTTTAATCAAAGCAGCAGCTCCTGCTCCTCAGCCCTGTGTGCAGAGAGAGGGGAAGGCACAGAGCTTTCCTGTGCACATCACCTCCCAAACCCAGCCACGCTGCACAGGTGCACCTGCTACCAAGTCCTGGGAAAAGAAGAACAGATGAACTAAAAAGCAGTGGCAAAAAAACCCATCAGAAATAACTCTGATTTCCTGGTGTCATTTCTAGCCCAAACATTAATCATATGTTTTCTACATTTAGGTTTCTAGGAGCATATGTTTTGTCTGCTGTGCTCATTTAACTAATAGAAGTTCTGTTGAGAAAATGTGAAATAAAATTGGCAGTAAAGTGATCTATATTTCACTTGCAACACATTATCAGCCTGCAGCTGAGGCTACAACAAATTCAAGAATTGACGTTACAAAACTACACAATTATTGTGGGGTTTTTTGTTTTATTTTTGTTTTTCTCCCTTCTCCCCTTTTCTTTCAAATCTTACACTGGAACTTAGCTGGCAATTCAATGTAATAATGACGATACACTCAACACCCTCCACCGATTCAGTGCTGGCTGGTGTCTCATAAAGAGCATTCTTCACCTGCTCAAAGAAAATATTTTCAGATGAAAGACTAATGAGTGGGGGGGGAGGTGTGAACGCAACCTTTCAGAAGTGTTTTTCTTCAAAACTATAAAATACACAAACACACCAGCAAAAACGTTTTCACACAGAGTAGAAAGCATCACTTACCACACC